AAAAAGTGTATTTAATCTTTACAATTCAAGGATCTTAAAGACATTAATTAAATAACATTATACTCTTTGTAAGGGGATAGATTATTATTGTAATGAAAACCTGTATTCGCAAATTTGGATCTTGCCATCTGAACCATGAAAGTTCAATTAGAGGCTTGCTAAATTCTATTTATGGTACTAAAGTGTGGATTTCATTTCAAAATTCCTACTTTCTGGAAAAAGAAAGCACCAATAAAAAGTAACTTCATTTGGCAAGTCATCAAACTCATTCATCTCATTGTGTCCAACAAGATGAAAATGATTACACAAGGTGGTAAAAATTCCTGGTCCCTGTAAGTCATTAAAGTTTCATGCTTGTTTTTTCTAAGTTAAGGTTTGATCTCAGTAGTGTAGGGGTCAGTTTATACTAATGAATTATGCTAGTGATTTGAATTTGATAAAGTTCTGTGGGATAACCATGCAATTTTTGCATTCCTTGAATTATCACTACTGGCCAGATCTCCTCTTTGCCTATTTGCTTATTCTTTTTCATGTTCAGATATTTGCTATGAAAACAGACAAAGCTATTCCTGGCAACTATACCTGCTATGCAAGAGAAGAGTTCCGTATCACTTCCCTTAAAAAACTTCCCCTTTCTTACCCATTTCTGTACACACTACAGAAGTTAATAGTCAAGGTAACTCAAATCTCACTAGATCAATGGTGTACCTTACTGGGGCCTCTCCAGCACAGAAATTGCCTGACCCATCTTTTTACCCTCCCTTGGAGGTCTGTAACAATTTCCTATAAATTTTTTTACTGTTTCTTTTAGCTATATTTTGTGTTTGTCACATTAGCTAACCCACATATGTAATTTTACTCAAAATACCACAACCTGTAACTATATCACCACATCACTTCCCATCTTCTGAATTTGTCTCTTTGGTAAATCATATACTCTGATATTTTAATATATAACCACTCAACCAAGAGGCAGTCATGTCTCTACTTAAAATATTTAATATTTGGTTCTTCGTGTTCCTCATATTTTTTCACAAACTCTCTTTAGAAAAGGAAGTGGATTTCCTTTCTCTAGGCAATGCTTTCTATCTATATTATTCACTTCAAGAACTTAAAATATTAGTTATCCTTTCAAAGTTGGCTAATCTCTCCCCCATCTTTCACTACCTATCCTTTTGCTAAAAAAACATACATAAAACCGAATACTAAAATTACAGTACTACTTCCCTGCTAATTTCTTATACAGATATGGTTTGTCAGTTCTAGATGACTTTGGATCAGCCCCAAACAAAAGAAAATATTCCGGGTAGTATAATCCTGCATGGAACAATGTGATCTGTATAAAAAATCACTTACTGAATCACCAGCACCTCTTTCCGTTCCTAGGAGATCTCCCATCGAAGCAATGCCTGAATTAGTGTAGAGTGATTTGTGGCTTTCCAGCTGTCATTCATTAATTCTTAGGAAATACAATATACAATAAAACAGTACCCAGTCTGAGGTTGTAGTCTGCAATCTCTTAGGAAGAATGCAATTTGCATGCTGAATGTTCTTTAAAATTGTTTTCAAACAATAACCATAGTCCATTATTTCTATCACCCCTCAAACACATTTCACTGATGATGAAATATTGTATCAGTTACACAGACCCATAAAGGGGGAAGAGTAAGGAATTGAATCTGTGGAGAGTCTCAGCTATGAAATGAACTGCTGAGCTGTAGACAAAGGGTTTTACTCCAGCACTGTACCTGTTCACGTTTCTTTGGCAGAGAGGAAAGCACAGGCAATCCTAACAGCAGAGGTTATAAGTGACCTGGGCACTCTAATCCACTGGCTTTGGCACTTTTCCATCTGGCTGACCTGTAAGATTGCCCAGTTTTAGAAATAGTACTGCTTAGCTATAATTCACTGTTAGCTGCCTCATTTCTTGACCAAGGACAGGAGAGGATGTTGTGACACATTGAGGATCCAAGAACCCGGGGACCTACCTCAGAGCAAGCCAAAGAACTGCTTCTACAAAGCCAGAGAGACTGTGTAATGCCTGCTTCATCAAGGACTTTTGGCAAGATCTATGACAAGCTCAGCACAGCCAAAAACATCCCACCATTACACATGCACTTGTAGCAGAATTGGAGCATATAGGGAAGTTTTCTGGAGGGTCTCAGGCACCCCCGACTTCCCAGAAACCAGAGAAGGCCGCATAGGGAGGTTTTTAAGTCTGTTATTCTCTTGAATTTACATGTTAATTAGTCTAAACTGCACATCAGGAACCTAAGAACGTTTTTCACCTTTAACTCTTTGTTCTGGTTTGGTTTGGTAGGGTTTTGGCAGGGAGGGAAGTGCCACAGAAGTAGCTCTGGTAAGAGGCTGAGAAGCTCCCCTGGCTCCAAAACCAGTCAAGGAGCCATTAGAGGGACAATAGACGCATCTCAGCGATTAACATAGGGAAGAACTGATAACATCTGATCAGAGAAGGACTGGAGGGAGGAGAGCTGGGCTGGGGAAGGAGAGCAGTGCTGGTGGTTGGGAGGAAGAAGGGGAAGAAGGGGGCCAAGCAGAAGTTTCCCTGCAACCCATGGCAAGATGGCAGCTGTGCGTCTGCACTTGTGGAGGAACATGGTGGAACATTCCCTGAAGGCGTCAGGAGGGGGGAACTTGGCCAGTGGACTTGGATTGGGTGGCCAGAGGATTTGCTGCCAGTGGACTCTGATTGCGTAGCTTTGGAACCCCCCAGGGCCAGGGGAGTTTGTTCCCAAAGCAGCCTGTGACTCTGTGGGAAGCCCAGGCTGGAGCAGCTCTGGACCTCATGGGAAGGACTCATGAAGGAGAGGTTCGTGGTGGACTCTCTCCCATGGGAGGGACCCTGTAGGGAAGCAGGGAAGGACTGTAAGGAATCCTTCTTCCTGAGGAGGAAGGAGCAACAGGAACCACCAGCCTGTGAACTGACTCTAAACCCCATCCCCTGTCCCCCTGTGCCGCTGGGGGGAAGGAGGGAGAGAAACTGGGAACAAAGTGATTTGGGCCTGGGAAGAAGGGAGGGGTGGGGTAACATATGCAAGCTCTGCTCTGTGTGTTGTCTGTGTCCTGTGTGTGTTTGGTTAGTGTGGAACTAAATTATTGTTTTTTCCCCAAGTTGAGTCTGTTTTGCCTGGGACCTTAATCAGTGAAGAATCCTCCTTGTCCTTTGTCTCAACCCATGAGCTTTGTGCTTCTCATCCCAGTGTGTGTGTGGCGGGGGTGAAGTTGAGTGAGCAGCCATGGAGCTGTTTCTTTGTCATTGAGTTGTCCCAAACCACAACACTCTTACACGGTTGAATTAAGAAGCAAATTAAAAAAATAAATAAATATAGGAGTAGGAGGTAAACCTGAAACACTAATCATTTACAATAAATACTAGGGTTAACAAAGCATAGCCATCATTCCGTGTTTAGCAGGCACCATGACAGCAGTTATTGTAAGGGTTTGAAAAACAATGCTACAAGTATTTTTATGGCAAACTCCTCCCATGCTCAGGGGTTTTCATGCTTTTAGCTATTACATCTGTGACTGAAACTAACTGTGAAACTAGCAATTTAATTATCCCATGGTACATATACACACATTTGCAACAGTAAAAGTGAGTAAAGGTCAAAAGTGAACACTGTAAAACTTGGAACATTTTCGCCAGATTTTGTCATTCAGTATTTAATAAAATACCTGCTTAGATTGCCTTATTGAAACATTTCCTTGTTGCTTATATCACTAATACTATTAACACACTGCTGTTATTTCTAAACAACAGAAAACGAGCTCTGCCAAAATAACAAGTCAGGACAAATGAACGTTGACCTTAAAAATGGCTGCCTGAATTGCAAGAAAGAAGAAGATGCCATTGACTATAAAACAGAACAATATAGACCTATGATTTGCAAACAGCTTTTGATTCTGTAACATTTAGTAAGGACAGGTCTCCCTAGGGATGCATGTATACATTAAATTATTTTTCAATATCGTATCTTTACAAAAACTACACTAGAACTTTTAGCCTCTTTCTTACATTGTGTCCAATTTTTTACAAATACATGAACACAAAGGCAAAAATATCTCCTATGAAAATTCACTATTTCACATTACTTAGCTACAGTGTTGAAAATATATTAAATATGATATAAAGTTGTTGTGAATCTTATTCAGGAGGTATAATTGATAAACAAAAAAACATGCTGAAGGCATGTTAACAGTGATAAAATTATCTAGACTATTCTGTCTGTATACATAATCACCAATAATTTAGATTTATCCATCTGAAATCAAGATGTAATTGTCATAGAATCACAGAATCATAGAATGGTTTGGGTTGGAAGGGCCCTTAAAGATCATCTAGTTCCAACGCCCCTGCATGGGCAGGGACACCTCCCACTAGACCAGGTTCCTCTTAACTCCATCCAACCTGACCTGAACACTTCCAGAGAGGGGGGAATCCACAACCTGGGGCAACATGTATTGCATGTGCCAGCATCTCACCACTCTCAGAATGAATAATTTCACCCTAATGTCTAACCTAAATCTACCCTCTTACAATTTAAGGCCATTACCCCTTGTCCTATCACTACATGCCCTTGCAATATGAATTACTCTATTTTATATTTAGACAACTCTGTAAAATAGATATTTTAGTTTATCATGCACATGTTCCTAAGAAAAGTGGAATTTGAGACAACAGAAAAAAAAATAGTTTATCTCCCTCATTCACCCAAAATCAATTAAATATAATAAATGCCACTGTTTCTTAGTGATTTTGTATGAAATTGAACATAGTAGAGAATTGAAATTTTCTTGAAAAAGCAACTGCAGTAATACCTGTACACAATCCTATGCATGAGCAATACTTTCTGAAAGTTTAGCAAGTGTCTTTTCCTTTTCTAGTAATCTCCTTAAAGCTGGATTTATTTTTTTAACTGTGCATTTGAATTAAACTAAGACTGCTACTATCATACCTATAGAATGAGAACCTTAGTTACCTGTATGGCTGTGAGGATATTGGCTAGTGCCTGGCCATATGTGTCATGACAGTGAACTGCAAGGGCACTCAGAGGAATTTCTTTCATAACAGCTTCCAACATTCTTTTCATACTTCCAGGAGTCCCCACACCAATTGTGTCCCCCAAGGAGATTTCATAACAGCCCACACTGTACAGCCGCTTAGATACCTGATTAGAAACAGAGAAGCACAAAGAGATCAAGATGAAAGAACATAAAACAGGGTTAAGAACATAAAATAAAAAGGACATAGTTATGTGCAAATTTCAAGTTTTGACCCACCAAGGTGGACCTATGTATCAGAAACTCTATTAGTTCTTGATGATTGTCACCCAAGAGGGAAGTCCCATCCTCTTATTTTAAATGTATAGTTCTGCTTCTGTCCATGGAATAACCAACCAAGAGAAAATTGTCAAAACCTTGCTTTTTGACTCCCCTGTAGAATCCAAATAAGCCACATTTTACGCTATGAATTAAGTTTTTGTCAAGCCCTTTCCCAACATTTTCTCTCTCTAGGGATTTCCCAGCTGTTTGGTTTTCTTCGTATACTTTTCCATTTGAAAGCTGTGCAGGATAAAGACCTGCCCTTTTGTTTGCTTATTACACAGAGCCAGGCACAGGGCTGAACAAAGACAAAAAATAATTAACAAGAAGCCTGATTTTGCTTTCTCTTGGCACTGAAAGCATCAATGAAAACTGAAGTTTTACCATGTTGCAGTTAATAATTTTTCTTGCTTTTCATGAAATCAAACATTAAAATACTAACAAAGCAAAACTGTAACACTTACCATTCTAGACATTAAGATTTAAAATTTTTCTTAATACCTGCACAAATACTTCTTACTTATGTAGGTAGTGCCCACGTGTTTCTGGAATTACTTTTTAAAGCAGTTCTTTGTCTGACAGATATTTGAGTTCTGGCCCCATACTCTTTGTATGGAGAAAGACATATATTAGGAAGCATAAAATTACGCCTGCAGCAAAAATACTGCTTTAGAAATTGAATATACTTTCTAGCTCAGACCTTCTGAATTTACTTGGAAAAGGTTTCACTTTATTTTCAGTTGCTGAGCATGTTTGTCCTCTTTAGCATTCCCCACTGTGTCAATGATCCTGAAAGGCCAATCCACTGGAATGGAATCTCAATCTAGAAATTAACTGTTCAGAAATGAGAAAATATGACCTTTTTCCAAGACAACTTGAGTTGCACTGCACTCTGCTGTTAAATCAATTCCAGGACTTCATCAGTGGGATTGCTGTGAATACGGCTGAGAAAGCTTGACAAAGTGCTGTACCAGCAGTCTTGGAAGTGCTGGATTAATATTGCTGCTCACTTAATTCAAAGAACAGCTGAAAAAGAACTTCAAGTAGCCTGAATTGTTCTGCTTAAAGCTTGAAAGTGCTATGACTACTGCAAAGGCAGTAAAAGTATTTGTCAGAGCCCATGGTTCGCATCCACATAAATTCAACATACAGTTTAAGAAAGGGACATTCACCAGACTGCAAAAAATATTGTCTTGCAGCATATTATTATATCCTCAGCATCTGGCAGGTGTTTTCACTGGACTACTGTTGTAAGAAAAAAAATAAAATCATCTGCAGCAAGTAGTAATTACCTCTGGCTAATCCCCCAGTCTTCAATTTTTGTTTAAGATCAAGGTAAAAAAAGCAGACCGCATTTTTTTCCTCATGTTCTTTTTCATTCATGATTCAAAGTTTTTCTAGATGAGCATTTTAGTAATGACAAAGACACTATATACATTGCTAGAAATCATGTTGCATTCACTTCTTTTCCATGCTCAGTCCTTAGGTCTTCCAGCTTCTGAAAATTAAGTTCTGAAAGATGAAACAAGAGAGGGGGAAACTCTGCAAACAAGCTGAGCACCGTCACTGACTTGTCATGATCTAACCTTAAATTGACCCTTGAAAGGAGATCTATCTTTAATTTCAAGAATGTGCATGCTTGTAAGCTAAATGGGAGTTTTTAATATTGGATTTTCTATCCTACAATAGTAGGAGTCAGCCCTTTAGTTATAGTTTTGTAAGTTTTCAATGTGAATTTTTGGGAGGAGCATGGGGGAGAAGAGAACACACTGTTTTGTCAGTGTAATCAGAATGTGATTGCGAACTTGCAGCTTTGTTGATTGAACAGGGTTGTGTTCTGCATCACTGAGCAGTTTTACTATGCATGAGTCTTGTGCTGCTCCCCTTGGGAGCACTGCCCTGACACCAAGCATTGATCAAAATGGGAGTTAATGACCCAAAGCTGCAACCTCAGAGGCATGTGAACAATCCTACTGTTGGAAAGAACATCTAAAACTATACTCTTAAACTGAATACAAAAGGTCATAATTGAGTTACAGATGATTTTAAGCAAGTAACAAAGACACACTGCAGTCCTTGTGCTTCAAGGGAAACTTTGTAATAATCCAACCACATTCAAATAAGAAGAGGCATATTTTCCGTAGTCTGATCAGCGTGTATGCTGGATAATACTTGTACAAATCCTCTGCTCTAGGTTAAAAGAAAGCTAAGGAGAGAAAGAAGAAGGCAGACAGATAAAAACAGCCAAGTATATGACTGGAAGACAACGGATAACACAACTGTCTTCATGAGTCATAGTGACTCCATTTCAACAAAAGGCAGAGTGGATATTATATAGTGCTTCCAACATCTTTCAAACCTTATTTCCCTAAGGTTGAAATTCACAAACCACAGGATAGCAAATAGTGACTCCATTTCAACAAAAGGCAGAGTGATAAAAAATACCTATGCAGTTTATTTTAATAAATGAGATTTTTAATATTTTTTTTTAAATAAAGAGCCATATGAATGTACCAGACAGATTCTAGAAGTCTGAAGGCGTCTGAAGTTTGCGCTCACTAGGTAACTGTGTGTAAAGCAGTTATGCACCTAGTAAGCCAGAAATGCATGTAGCCTGGTTAACGAGCCACAGTTCGTAATTTGTTTTGCTTAATTTAAAAAATCTTCTGCTTAAAAAAAAAAGAAATAAAGTCACTGCTATAGACTGCAGAAGAAACAATCTAAACTTTTCAACTGGAGCTGCTGATTGCAATGCAAAGGGAGTTACACACTCCCATGCTGAGAAAGATGATGACCAGAGAGGCAGCTCTCCAAAAGGGTTTAGCAACACATCCAGTAACTTTGATAATTCTGATTTAGCAAAGGATGAGTGCATGTGTTTATGTAAAATCCATTAACAGCTAATCAGGTGGTTCTATATAAACACTGTGCATGCTGAATCAGGGCCTCAACAACTTTAATGAGGCAGCTTTTATTCTTGAATACGTACACTGTGGAATACAGGTACACAGGAAGCTATGCTTTAGGATTTAGAGAGAAAATAAAGTATCTGTGTGAGTAAAAGTTTGCAGGTTTGGAACATTAAGTAGCACTCCCACTGGCAAACTGAAAAGGACCTCTTCTGTGCAAGGAGAGTAGTTAAAAAACAAGCAACACATGGAAAGAAGCCTGTTGGGGAACATGATACTGCAGTAAGCAATTTACCAACAGCACAGCTGAATCTGTCATCACTGCTCTTACTAAAGCTGTGTCACTTGTAACTTTCAGTTCATATTAAATCAAATTAATTTAGAAATACTGAGTACCTTCCAATTTAGGGGGTTTTTATCTTCTTCTTTTTTTTTTTTTTTTTTTTTGTTTCCAAAGGGTATGAGTATATGTGACTGCTGTGGGAGAAGCATTATCACAAGTTCCATCTGGAACATATACCAGAAGAAGATGCAGGAGAATGGGACCTGAAAGCCACACACGCAGAACACAATAAATCAGAAGAATGTTGACTAGGTGCTAGTGTTACAAAGAAGCACAAACAGTGGTTTGGAAATTCTGCTAAATCATCAAAAGTCGGTGATTAAGTGTAACAGAAAAGTCTTTCTCCAGGAGAAAGGCCATCATGTTCTGCATTGTGCCTCTTGAATTCTCTCAATTTTCTCTACTGTCCACTTTGGCTTTCATGCCGTTTGCCCACCTGCAAAATGTTTCACTTGTCTCTTTCTCTGCTGGAAAATAAGGCTGGACTAAGACATTATCTTTTTTCTCCTTTATCCTAAATGGGAAAAGGGGGCAGTAGAACAAGTTAAGTAGTAGGAAATCCCACTGGGAATGAGTTTGGGTTCATGTGTCAATGACATGACACTCACCATAAGTACAGTGTTGTAGCTGTGGCTCTAGCAGCTGACAGCGCAGTGTGCTCATGCCAGCATAAAATGAATTTAAAAGCAGATACCCTTGGCAAGAGGTTGTGCTGGAAATCATTGCATACAACATGGTCCACTGACACATGTGCTTGAGCATATTTCTTTAAGCATTTCCTTACCTTCTTGTTGGAGGAAATAGTATTTTTTCCTTATGACTGGTAACAATCAAAACATACTATTTTCCTTAGATTTGACTGGATATGGTTGAGCGAGGTTAGGCATACAGTTTTAGTATTAGCTATGTTTTATGTTTGTTTTTCTTAAACTTTATCCATTAAAGATCTTTTTAGGATTAAGTAGAAAAAATTACTTAGAACATTTGAAAATGTATTTTTGATTCATTAAAAAGACAAGCCAGAAGTTCATTCTTACTTCTGCCACTTTAGCTGGTGTTATGTTTCCTTCATATGGGCATCCCAATGCACATGACACATACCTACAATAAAAAGAACACACAAAGATACTTCTGTTTCATATATGCATATCTGTATCCACCCATGTTACACTTTTAAAAAGATTAAATACAATTTTTAATATTTAAGTAAGTCAATGTAGAATACATATTTGAATGAAAAGTTAAAATTATATCAGATGAAAGTAGCAGATGCATAATTAAAATTGCAACTTAAATCACAGATTAGAGATTTATAACTTTATTTGTGCTTAATGTACATCTCAAGCTGTAAAGGACTGGCAATGCAGCCCAGCTAGTGCTGCTGCAGGAGGCTTCAATTTTTGTTGGCATTTCCTTTTGAAGTTGAAGAGACAGCTCAAGTTTTGCCTTGCCTGGTTCACAAGGAATTCAGAATAAGATATCATTTCCTTCCTGTGCTACCTACCTGGATCATAGAGAGCAACACTTGGACACAAGCGACTTATAACAACCCAACCATCCCATGAGTCATTAGAACTGGGTGAATGTGGGAGCTTTCACTCTCTCCCTCTGTACTGGCATATCTGTCACAGTGCCCCTTGGGACAAGAAGAAACTGAGTAGCCAAGCTGTGTCTCTCAGCAGCTATCAGCTCCACAAAACACAACAATTGAAAGCCACAACCAAGCCTCCACTGTTTGGTTTCAATGCTGTGTTAGGTTAAAATTCGGTTTCTTTTTTTTATAGCTATTACGAGCCGTGAAATTCCAATTAAACTTCTAATTGTTTATCTTAAATTGATTAGGAATAGGATTAAACTAACCAGAAACAGCCATTCAGCCATTCATTCAAACAGCCAAGTGTGGCTGTAGAGGGACTTACAACAGATTCAGAGGCAGGCAGAGCCCCTGTCCCAGTGGGAGGTTGCTCAACTGCTTAATAGAAGAACAAGAGACTTCATAGATGCCCCAGCATTCCCTTTCCCTCAACAATAAAGGATATAATGCAAAAATTACACAGTGGATAATGCAAACTGAACAGATCACAGTTTGTATGTAGTCAAGGTCCTTAGGGTAATGGATGTACCTTTTCTTTGCAGTTGAAGGAGAAACTAATCAAATGTGAAATTAGGATGAGTAACAGGCAAAAACAAACTGTGAAAAAAGTAAATATTGTAAAGCATAGAACATATTAGATCTCTTATATGAAGATACAGTGTTGGCACACTGAAAATAGCAGTAAAAATTAAGCAAACCTTGACCCTAAAAAGAATTTGATTAGTCCTGACAAAGAAATGGAAATGAATTTTGGTTCCAGAAAAGCGGTTGGGTCCACTACATTCTGCTCATAATTTTAGTCCAGATGCCTGTTAGACATGATTTCAATTATCTGTATGACATTATGAAAACCAGGTTTTTGAAACTTGGCCATGGACTTCATTAAATATCACCCCCAATTTAGATGTCACTGTTCAAGTTTTGAAATTCTAAATGTTATCTATATTAATGATAAAAATTGAGATACTGTTAACAGTTAAACACTGCCCTGCTTTTCAGTGACATGAAACTCCTTGATTTTTTTATGCATACATTTTTTTCAAATGCAACTAAGTATGAAAAAATTTAGACCAAAAGGATTCCTTTTTACATAATATTGCAGTGTCTAGAGCCAGTGAATACACAGACTTTTACTGAAAGTACTTTGCAACATCAGCAACAACATTTAGGAAAAAGTGAGCAAGAATCATATTTAATACAAAGTAATTGCAAAACATACAGTATGTATGTGCACACGTTCCCTCTAGTTGCATATATCTTTACATTTCCTTAGCACCTACATATGTTAGATCAAGATGATGTGCATTTGGTAGAGCTAATGTGGCATGAATGACATCTGGAATAGAGTAGGGTAAGGAAAAGTAAAAGCAGGCCAAAAGGTATCTAGAGAACAAGGGAATACTCCCTGTGGCTCACACCAGTGAGCAGAAACTTGCCTGAGCTCACATAATTCAGATGGGCCTGCTGGGGTATGAAAGTATGTGGTGACCTGAGCAATCTGCCTACTACAATGTACAAATCTGTTCAAGATTATGAACTCTCTGCATGCTTACACCATTGTGACTAGACTGAAATTTTAAACAAGAAAAATATGAAAGATATCATCTATCTGGGTGTCTGATATTCAATATCAAACTGGAGAAAACAGGGATTATTGGAAGAATTTGACAGGTAAAGAACCAGAGAGAGAACAAAGTCCTGTGGAGAATGAAAGAACTGTTTTTCAGTAGAGTTCATCAAGGATGAGCTTGACAGAATTTTTTCTAATATTTTCACTAGTGAATTGACATAAAAAGTAGGTATGTGGTGATAACATTACATTTCTTAAAAAAAAAAAAAAAAAAAAAAAAAGGCATTGGGATTCCATGCAGAAAGGACAGGAGCAATAAAAATGGGACTTAGTTGATGGCAGTGACAAAGAAGGTGAAACACTTAAAAAGACCCCCTAAAAGAAGGAAGTGCACTCCAAACAGCTAAGCAGGAGTACAAAGAGTCTAGCATATGAGAGGAGAAAACACCCGTGTCTGTGTGGAAGAGGGAAGATAACCATGTGTCTGGTCTGGGCATTTGCCAAGACATCTAGACTTAAGGCACAGCTGGGTGAGATGCTTTGTAATTGCATTTATATGGTTCCAAATTAATAAGCTTAAGTGAGAGGAAACATATTTCAATAAGAAGGTAGATCTGTTATCTACAGATATGTTTGGTTGCTGAATATTCTTTTTTGTGTATAAAATAACCCATAAGTAACCCATAATAAAAACATAAGAGATTACAGGCTAAGCAGAGCCCCAGACTTCTACCCAAACCCCTCCAAAATGGGAGACAACTTTGTTGAATACACTGAAGAACTGTTTAGAAAGAAGAAGCAGAAAATAGCCATAGAAAGCAACAAAAGACGAAAGTTGAAAGAAGGGTCTGGTTGACTGCAGCAAACACTACTGACAAGTCAAGAAGAATGAGGATAGACTACTGTTTCTGAGATCTTGTCATCAGGGAGTTTGGTGAGAGCAGTTGCAGTTGCAAGAAAGGAACAGAAGCCAAAGTGTAGGAGTTCTAGGAGGGAATCACAGAAGAGGGTCTCCAGACAGTAATTATAAACAGCGCCTTCAATGAGCTTAGGAATGAAGAGGAGATAGGCGATGAGATATGATATGAAGAACCAAGCAAGGTCAAAGGTGCAATTTTTAAGAGGCAAATCCTTGCTTATATTGCAGTGGAAAAGAGCCAGAGAACAGTGAAAGGTTAAGAAAGAGAATAAGGGAGGGGAGAAATAAGAGGAAGAACAGAACATGAGGTCACTGGGGCAAGTGGAAGGGGTACAGATGGAAAGTAGACAAGAAACTCCTGCTGCTCTGACAGTGGAGAGAAAGAGAAAGGATTAGAGGAGGGGAGGGTGTGAAGAGAGTGACAGAAGGAACGGCATACTCTATCTCTTTCTCCTTAGGAAAAGAACCCTATGCAAAAAAAACCCAACAAAACAGCAGAGGGAAAAAGAGGGAGGAGTTTGAGCAGTGAGTTAGAGAGGCAACTGGGATTTAATTTGGGGATTCAATTAAGCTGGAGAATACAGCTGTTTTCTAAAAAGATGGCAGCACTGAGAGAAAAAAGAATTTGAAATGAAAAAGACTGTCTCAGTCTCAGGATATTCACCAGAGACACTTTGCGGCATGAGAGCAGAACTAAGTATCTGGGAGTTCACAAAGCAGAGCCTGCAATGGAAGTGCTTATTTCTAAGTATGTGCTTAAATCTTTGCTGAATCAAGGCCAGACATTCTAGTAGTTTAACTGTGTCTTAAGCATGCAATCAAGAAAAGAGCCCATGCAACCAGAGGTGGAAAGAAGGACCTGTAATAAGTGAATGTATCCATACAGCTGCTTTAGGAACACAGGGGTAAACACTGTTTTACTCACTGAGGTTCTGTGAAATCAGAATTCCTCTCTTTAATAAAAATAAATTCTCTACATGTTTCACCTGGCAGAATTTACCCAGTCTCTTGTCTGCAGATTTAACTGCAGGTGAGTATAATTTAGTTTTCTCCTAAACTGTTTTCTTTGCATATACAAACAATTAAAAAAAAAAACTCCAACAGCTTTACTGTGTAACATGTTGGACAAAAATGCTGCAAGGCTCTGGGGATGGGGAGGGAGAAGGAGGAGGAAGAGAGTTTTCAATTTCTTCCAGTAAGCCAAAACTGAATTGCAATGTTCCACAAATGGTAGAGACACTATAAGGTCCCCACGATCAAGGTCACTAGGAATGGTGATAATCTTCACACCAGCCCAATGACTTTGAAATGCAGAATATAAAACCACAAACAGGGTAAATGAGCAAACTTTTCATAACCAAAGTGTGTTAAAAGGAAAATGAATCCAAGTAGAAACTTAACTCCGTGTTGTAATCAGTCCTTTGTCAGCTTGTTTCAGCAAGAGCTCCAAGAGCCAGATCCACAGCTGCTACCACAGCTGGAAGCACAGAGCCTCCTGAGAAGCCAGTTGCAGACTCAGATGCTGCTGTTTCCTGTTTATTATTATAGTGTAAGTTTGCATAATTTACCATGTTCACTGCAGATGTATTTATTTTTATTGGATGTTTGTGCTAAAATGTATATGCCTATCATTTGTTGCATTCATGATACAAGGTTGATATATATGCTGACTCTTTGTAAAGGAAGCCATTTGTTAAAAACAGACAACTTTACTGTAAGGAGAAGGGAAATACAAAGATCAGAAGAGGGAAGGGAAATTCTTCTAGAAACAGAATTTCCAAGCCAAGCCCGAAATGTGCAAAAAAGGCCAGGATTTTTTTTTTCCACATTTGATTTGTAAAAAAAACAACAACAAACAAAAAAAAAATCCCACCAAAAAACAAACCTCTCTATGTATGTAGTGCCCAGTTGCAAGTAATATATATGGTATTCAAAGTGAATCCTATAGTTATTGTTATTTTAGAATGCCCTAAGAACACTAAAATTGTGAACTATGTTCTAGAAAATAACTTCTCTAA